AAAAACTAAAGAAAAAAAAACACAAAGAGACACCAGCTGTCATCCACAAATCACAGTACAGTATTACATAATAACAGTTCACGACCACAGGACTGAAGAAGTAGGAACAAAGTTAACTACATTCCGTAGCTGCTGTAGCCATCCCAAGAGAAAGTACACTTCACTGCTTCTAACCCACTGACTCTTCACTCTTTCTAACTCTCCTCCAGAGCAGAACAACAGTATCCGGCTTTGTTTGGGTCCGGTTTCCATGGAGATCAGAAAGACTTGTTTCTGTTCTTTCTCGCATCTCGCCTCACTAGATCTCTGCTGGGCCGTTTTCCTGTTCATTAGTGACTTGGCTTTCATGTAGGTTAAGTGCAGAAGGATTACCTGAAGCTGCAGATCTCAACTTGAGGTCATTTAACTGAGTAAATACAGGTTCATGGCCTGATGTGTATCAATTTGGGGGTCCTTGACAACAAAAAGGTTGAGAACCACTTGGAGGATCCAACCTGGGAGCAAGACAGACAATGTGTTCTTCTACGGTCTGACCAAACTGCATAGAAAGACCAGAATATTTTTTTTAAAAAGTAAGTGCCATAGAGGACTTTCTGCATCTGCACAAGTCCATTTCTAATTTGGTTTTAGTAAATGACATCATATGCTAGCTGTGACACATAGTAACAGACCTAGAGACTTACAGCAAAATGCTAGAGAATCTAAAAGGGGAAAAAAGAAAAGTACATATCAGCTCACTTTTACCTAAATGCAAGCAGTTTCTTATCTTTTATCACAAATTGATTAAACCAAAATAACAATGGAAATCAAATCAATTTGTACTGTTCCTTTCACTGCAATTTAGGTGGAAATGTAGGACAGACCTGAAACTTTTCTATCAACCATCCAACAGTTTATCCATTGTTATGTCATTGTATCTATGTATGTATGTACAGACTGTGACCTGCGGTAACAAAGTCTCCTGTGAAGGACAATAAAGTATGATAATATTTTATTATTTTATTTATTATTAATTATCATTATTATCATTATTATCATCATCATCATCATCATCATCATCATCATCATCTATCTCCTTGAGTATGATACATTTCTCTTTGTTTTTCCTCTTTTTAATCCTCTTACTGTAGCATATGTCATGCACACCCATCTACCCTCCTGCCTCATTCGTCCATTGTCTGCCACACTGTTCATCTTTTGTCGCCCTCACCAAATTTGTTTGTCATCCCTTGCCTGTATATCTCTCCCCATCTGCCATGTGTATTTATCCATCTGTTTTCAGCAACAGGCTGTCTGAAGGCCACAATCCATGACAGAGAAGCACTCCGGCT